TATTAACGGGTAGGTAAATCGCTCTAATAGCTAAATAACCTCGGATGTTTTATTGTAGTTGTAATTGTGCTGTGTGTGTGTTTTGGAATAGGTTGAGCGGAAGTGGTAATTAATACAGCTCGTTTCCTATTCTGCATTGTTCGAGCCACGCTGCTGCTTTTGGGAGTTTAATTACGTCCATGTCTAGTATTCAAGTGGGCTTGATGTTTGTTCGTTTATTTGTTTGTTTTCTGTTTGGTATTTTGTTTTGAGTAATTTGTAATTTTGTTTTTTTCTTCCTTCGTGACGCCCTGATTTTGTTTTCTTTCGTTTCGTTTGTTGTGAATATAAACCACAAATTGAAGGTCCATTTTTAATGTGATGTTTTCTTTTTCTTTTGTTTGTAGGAGTGGAGTGCTTCCGGGAGCGGGTCGGGTTTTGACAGCACCACGGATATTATTTCACTCGGGGTGGCCATTTTCGTGTGCGTCACTATTGCTGTTACTATTTGCAGTGAATCTTGTGGGTGTGATTTTTCTCTTTTGCATACCTGGTGCTGTTACATTCACCCGCTTCTTATATAGGAAGACTCCGCTTTCTACAGCATTATTATTATTTGGATGTTTTCTGTTTTTCTTTTTTTGACCTATGACATTGGTGTGTGCCGGCTGTGGGTTTTAAATTAATATCAGCCAATTCTTTTAGCCTTAATAAAAGATTGTTTGTACTGAGATTCACGCCTCTTGCTCTTTTCATGTGGAACGTATTTGCGTGCCCTTATTTGGGTTATTTTCCCCGGTAGTCCGGGGTGGCGTAGTCACTACAACTGGGCCCCTTGCTACACGTGGGTAAACATGGTCAATGTGATAAATGGAGCTGGAAATCTAAAATTATAGTCAAGTTAGTCAAAATATTTAGTAAAATGTGCAATTCTATCAAAAATGACAATGTCAGATTCATTGGGGAAAAGGTAATGTAGTGATGTGAGAATTTACTTACCAAAACAAACAAAATAATTGCAATAATAATCTATTTATCCAAATAAAGACACTTAAAATAAGGAAGAATTTTCACTTCTGCACTTACAAATCATTACATTAGAACTAGCAGCAACGGCTTGTGATATTGCTTTTATATTGAGGAACTTACACTTTCAACGCAATATTGCCCGATACTTTTTTTTTTTTGTATGTTTTGCTCCATCAACGAAAATAATTCCAGACAAAGGCATGGCGGAACCGTGGCAATGAGGAAGATTTAGTAGCGAGTTTCAGCGACTTTCAAAGAATGATTCGATGACTCATTCAAAGACATTCGCCTGTTTCGTCTACGAATGAATCTGCGTTTTTGAACGAATCGGTTAAATGAACGTTCTACTGACTCACACTTAAAGACGGTCACTTTGCACCACCTAGTGCAGGGGTAAGCAAGTTCGGTCCTAGAGAGCCGCAGTGCTGCAGAGTTCAGCTCCAACCCTAATCAAACACACCTGAACAACCTAATCAATGTCTTCAGGATTACTAATGCCGAGTTCACACAGCACGATTTTCAAACTCGTCGGATCGCCGGCTTCGTATCCTTTAGCAACACAAAAACATGATATTGTTCATGTTAGTTTTGTGTCTTCATGCAAGGAATAATCCACGTTTTTCAGCCGAATGCATTTTTCTTTGAGAAAAGTGTTAAATAAATCCAGTAGTTTTTTTATTCCCCTAACATGTCCACATGTTATTATGTTAGGGTGAACATACATCCCCTTTATCCCGGACATGTCCTGACCGGGATTTCTAAATTGCCTAAAATGTCTTGCAAGAAGGCAGGATCTACAGAGAACAGTAAAGGCAATGCATATACATGTACATATAATGTCTAAGCACGTCAATAGGAAAAGTAAGGCAAAACACATTTAGGCAGTTTAGAAATCCCAGCCAAGGAATGTCCGGTATCTTATTATTAGGAAATCACAAGGCAGTTAAAAATAAATTGGAATGATTCACCTTCTCTCATCCCTAGTTCATATTGAATCCTGTACATCTAAAATTTTTAAGATTTTATGTTGGCTTTCAAATGGTACTTTTCAACAATGAGAACCTGGAAGAATGTTTAAGGGTGAGTAAACTGTGACAAAACCTTTTCTTGGTGAACTCTTTCTTTACTACTTTTAAAAGCATCCTTTGTCTGAATTTCGCCCTTTATCTGGTAAATCGCAGTGATTTTTATACTTCGCTTATTTT